TGATATGAGCGCCCCGAAGGGCTGTGTGTGTGAGGCAGCGGGATGCACCGCCACCGAGGGGCTGCGGATGGAGTGAGGGCTGCCCTCAGCACGGCGTGTGCGAGTTGAGGGGCTGGTTTGGGGAAGGGTTCTACCCCCGAGGGGCAGCTTGAGCTGTAGGGACCCCCCGAGACACCGTGTGAGGGATGAGGGGGTGTGGGACTCCCCGGGGTTGTGTGTGAGGTGTGGAGACCCCGCCGAATTGAGGGGATCCCCTGTGTGAGATGAGGGAGCCCCTGGAGAGGTTGGTGTGTCCCAAGGGGCTGCTCCGGCTGAGGAAAGCCCTGGGGACCCTCCGGGGCACAGCTGGGCTCTGGCACCCCGTCCCCAAATCTGGGGACTGGCAGAGCTCTGGCCTGGCACCCACTGACCCTCCCAGGGGTTTGGGGGGTGTCCCCTGGGATGGCAGCTCAGCTCAGGGGGTCCCTGGCCATACCCTGCTCCCAACACCTGTGGGGATCCTGGGATGCTCCAGGAAAACTTCAGCTGGGCACCAGGACAACCCACAGACCTGAGCTCTTCTTCTCTGTACCGTAATAATTTTTTTTTCATTTTTGACATTATCCCAAGTCATATTCCTGCCTCCAGAAAATGAGCATAACTTGTAACTCCATCCTGCTCCAGCTGTGCCGGAAGTAGTTGGGAAAGTGACTCTGAGTTGGTCACGAATTGCTCATAGAGCATCGAAAATTTGATTTTCTCTTCGTGCTTTTCCCTGGGTGTGCTGTAACCCTGAGCTGGAGTTCGAGGTTTGCTTTGTTCTGTACAGACACTGTTGGAATGTTGATGTGGACACTTGGGAATTCTGGGGGACAGAGGAGAAGGGACATTTGTCTTGTTGAGCTGGAGGAACAGAGAAATCTGTGGGAATGTTTCTCTTTGCAGTTCATCTTTCCCTCTGTTTCATTTTGAAAATTCACTCGGGATGAGAGTTTGTGTTGCTGTTGAATTGCTGTAACAGCAAATGTTTTTACTTTTATATGCAAAATTGGGGTGAGAGCTGGGATTCAAAGGCTGGTGTGTACCAGCAGGTGGCATTAAAAAAAATTATGGTTTTTTTTAGTTAAGAACTTCCAGTTGGGTTTCTGGAGCCACTTTCACTTTTGAGGCTCATTACACTGTGATGCCTCACAGCAAACATTCTGTTCTTTCTTTGGGCTGTCTTATTTTAAAAAGTGCCCATCCCAAACACTTTTTTCTTTCTGCTGTTTGGCCTGACCACTGCTGTATTCATGGTGCAGCTTAGGCAATCTGTAGATTTATAAAGAAATTTGGAGTTTTCATTAGCTCTGCTTATACCAGAACCGTGACCAGGTGTTCCACAGGGGACAGAATAAGAATTATTTTCCT